GGGACAACTTCAAGCGTGCCAACATTCGCATCTTGGGGGTGCCAGAAGGAGAAGAGAGAGAACAAGAAATCGAAAACTTTGGTTTATTTCTTCCCACCCCCCCAACTCCTTTCCCTTTGAGGTGTGTCAGTCTAGCAATGAATTTGTGTTTCTTAATCCCTTCACCTTTTTCACCCATTCCCCCAACCCCCCTCCCAACTGGCAACCAACAAAATGTTCTCTGCATCTATGAGAATGTTTCTGTTCTACCTGTTCATTTTGTTTGTAGATTCCATTGTTGATAGATATGTATTCATTGCCATTTTGTTTGTTCATACATTTTATCTTTTTCTTCAAAAAGACCCTTCATCATTTCATATAATAACGGTTTGGTAGTGATGAACTCCTTTAACTTTTTCTTGTCTGGGAAAGTTTTTATATGTCCATCGATTCTAAATGACAGCTTTGCAGGATAGAGTAATCTTGGTTGTAGGTTCTTGGTTTTCATCACTCTGAATATTTCTTGCCACTCCCTTCTGGCCTGCAAAGTTTCTATTGAGAAATCAGCTGACAGCCTAATGGGAATTCCCTTGTAGGTAACTAGCTGCCTTTCTCTTGCTGCTTTTAAGATTCTCTCTTTGTCTTGAACCTTTTGCATTTTGATGATGATGTGTCTTGGTGTGGGCCTCTTGGGGTTCATCTTGTTTGGGACTCTCTGTGCTTCCTGGACTTGTATGTCTGTTTCCTTCACCAAGTTAGGAAAGTTTTCTGCCATTATTGTTTCAAACAGGTTTTCGATTTCTTGTTCTCGCTCTTCTCCTTCTGGCACCCCCAAGATGCGAATGTTGGCACGCTTGAAGTTGTCCCAGAGGCTCCTTACACTATCCTCATTTTTGGGGATTCTTTTTTCTTTTTGCTGTTCTGATTGGGGATTTTTTTTGCTTCCTTATATTCCAAATCGATGGTTTGCTCCTTGGATTTACATACTCTATTATTGAAGCTGTGTAAATTATTCTTTATTTCAGTTAATGCCTCCTTCAATTCTAACTGTATCCCTGATTTCTAACTGGTCCTTTTTTATGCTCTTGAGGCCCTCCCTAAGTTCACTGAGGTTCTCACTAAGTTCATTGAGCATCCTTATAAGCAGTATTTTGAACTCAGTATCTGTTAGGTTGCTTATCTCCATTTCGCTTAGTTCTTTTCTTGGGGTTTTGTTCTGTTGTTTCATTTGGGACCTGTTTCTCTGTCTCCTCATTTTGGCTGCCTCCCTGTGTTTGTTTCAGTGTATTACTTAATGAGAGGTATGGGGCTCGCTGAGACCAGATGCTGCTCATTTGAAAGAATTTAGGAAAAACCTGAAGCAGGATCCAAGACCGGCCAATCCTATGGTTAAGCAAGTGGCAACAGCTTGGGTGGGCTTGAAAGTTGGGTGGGGCGGGGCCTCAGGGAGTCAGAAGGGCGGGGCTACCAGTGTGAGCCAGGTTGCTGGAGTCCCAGGTAAGGCTTCTGTCTGCCGCCCCCGGGAAGGGCTCACCAAAGAAACAAAGGCTTCTGACAGCACGTTTGTCCCTGAGAAAGCCCCCTCTCCAGCCCTAACTCCAGTGCCAAACAGCTCAGTTCTTCCCTGTATGTCTCTGGCACCCCTCGAGCTGCCTCCCCTCCAAGCTTAGAGGGAGAGAGTCCGATAAGTCCGTGCGCGGGCCGTTTAGGGAGCTGCCTGGGGCTCCAGCCACTTCAGCTTCCCTGAGCCTCAGTTTCCGCTGGTTTTTCCAGCCAGAAGTTATGGGGACTTCTCTTCCTGGCACTGGAAACCTGAGCGGGGCACCTGGTGTGGGACAGGGACCCCTCAGTCCTCAGGAAGGACCTTCCCAGCCGCGGGAGCTTCCTGATTTTTATCCGCCGCACTTGGGTGTGGGACCCACCCGTTGCGCTGCCACCGCCGCCCCACCACCACCCCTCCTACCAGTCTGGATGTGGCTGCTGATTTAATTCCGTAGTTGTAGGACTTCCATTCAGCTTGATTTCAGGCGGTTTTGAATGATGGTTGTTCTGTAGTTTAGTTGTAACTTTGTTGTGGTTGTGGGTGGACGCAATACTGCATTTACCTACACCACCATCTTGACCGGAAGTCAACATAAAATTTTAATTAATTAAATCTTAAAATATTTTTTTAATTTTATCTTCAAAGTCAAAATGATGAACATATTGAAGATATGTACATCATTCTGAGGAACAACAAATGAAATTTAATATCTAATCATAGATATAATTTCAGTCTAATTAGAAGCTTAAGGAAAACCATTTATTGCTAAATATGCAGCCAGGTGACTAATTAATGCCTACAGTGAGTGAAGGATTCAGATTTTGATCAACCAGAATCAAGGTCCACACTCTATCCCTTTGCCTTTTAATACAGAAAAGTCACATTAATAGTCTAAAGTAGCTTTTTTGTTTTGTTGTGAGTTTTGTTTTGTTTTTTCAGTGAAAATATTATACATGAATTTCCATAATGGAAAGTTATCATTTATGTGTCATAAAACAATTTTATCATAGTTACTTTGGCTCAGTAAATGCATGTACATTTATAGTTTTAAAGCTGTCAGAGGTCTACCACATGAACATTTAAAAATATCCCATAAAATACACTTCATATAAGAATTCAGCTGATCTTCTCTATATTTTTAATGCTAGAACCCTAGGAAAAGTATCTGAAAATTAGTAATAATTAACTAATTTAGCATTTGGACTCATGAAAAGTAATAAATTGACCTGAGTTAATACCCACAGTGTATGTAAAATTTATATCATAAATGGATCTACTACTACTATCGAACTCTTCTTTATACTTCAGAATCACATAGCTTAGTTTATTCTTGTTTTAGACTTCTATTTTTTTTATACTTTTTTTAGAGAGAGGAAGGGAGAAAGAGATAGAAACATTGATGTGAGAGAGATACATTGATCGGCTGCCTCCTGCACGCCCCCCCACAGGGGATTTAACCCCAACCGTGGGCATGTACCCTGACTGGGAATCCAACCAGGACCTCTCAGTCCATGGGCAACACTCAATCCACTGAACCACATCAGCCAAGCCAGACTTCTTTTTTCAAGGAGTAAAATATTCACTGGATATCAGACTTTTAGGAAGTGCTCATTCTTTCTAGTGCACAAGAGTTGCATTTTTTTCCTTCCTAACCCCAGAAAGGCACATAATATGAAATAGTTACAGATCCAAAAGCCCATTTAGAGAGCATTTAAGCATACTTTTAAATCTAATCTTCAACAGTAAGTGAATTATGTTTATTTTTCCTCCAGTAAAATTAATTTCTTGATTAATTCTGTCATCAACTGTTTCTATTCACCTATCACCACTCTATGCTTAGTGATTTTTCTTGGTGCACTATTTTCTACACAGACATCTTCCATGACACTTATCACATAATATTAAATTGTCTACTTAGTTGTATAACTTTTCCACTATAAGTTTATTGAGGGCAGGGCCATGTCTATTCTTCTTTGATTCCTGGCCCATGGGAGAAGACCAATGCACATTTGCTGAGCTGTTTTTTAAAACTACTTTGTTTTATCCATTGATGTCATCTCCTTTTTGGCAGGGGCAATGCTATTTTTTTTTCTTGGTCACTTTCTTTATATGGTATTTTGTAAACAGAGTATCTTTGGTTACAGCATTGACTCCTTGATTCAGAGGTAAATCCATAGGGGTTCCAGCCTTTGAGTGTCAGCCAAGGGACTTAAAAGGAAGGAAACATAGTGACTCAGACAAAAGGAGTGACAGTTTAAATCACTTCCCCATTCATTGTACCTGTCTGTCTTCTACCAACCCAAGTGATAGTTATTCTATTAATTTCTGGGATAATAACAACTATTAAAAGTAAATTATAAGTCAGAAACATTTCTTTCCTTTAATAGATAAATAAAACCTCAAAGAAAGAGGAATGCTCTGCAAATATAAAAGGGTTCCTAAATAATTTGTTCTTAAATTATAGGAATTAACATTTTTCTAGTCAAGTTAAATGAGTTTATTACCCAAAATCTTAATGTTACTTGATATATTTGCCAACCACAAAAGGCTCAAAATTAAACTCTAAAGGTACCATGCTGAACAAAAATTAGCCTCTGGAAGTCAGTTATGAAGGATTAGATGGGAATATGCTACCTTTCTGTTTTAGTAGGTGTGGTGCATATCTACTCATAGTCTGCTGAATTGCTCCTGACTTTTTGTTCAGACAGGTTGACTTTCTGGTAAAGGATTATTCTGTTTCCCTGTTTTGTTTTGCAACCTAATGTAAGAGTATGTAACTATAATTGACATATGAAACTGGATACTACTTCCTGGATTTATAGAAACCCAAGAGCATAATAAAATGAACCTACATTATCATTTATAATATTTAATTTATAGACCAACTAGAGATTTTTTTCTAAGAGAAATGGCTAGGACTTACAGTTCTCTACATCTGAAATTTGGACATTATCGTGGTTCACATGTTCACCCTCTCCTCAAAAACCTCCCTCATAAATTGAACAGGTTTACAATTTTGCAGGGATGTGGAATTTTGCACACAATTTTGCAGAATCGTCTGGAGTAAATCTCATCCTGTAATATTCCCTAGATGCTAGAAATGAGTACACAATGTTAAGTCTGCCTTATTATTAACATAAAAATAATTTTTTGTTATCTAAAATGAATGAAAAATGCCACACTTAATTAAATGTTCAGAATAATTGAAACATTACACAAAGACTAGTAATTTTAAAAGGATCAAAATATATCAAATTACTTATTATGGGGAACTTGAGAATTTTTTAGAAACAGAAAAATGAATAATAAGATTTTATTCTTAATGCTAATCTATAAACAGAAATTCCATAGTCAAGATTGAATAATTATGCCTACATAAAAATGTATTCCCAATAGTAAAATAATTCATGTTAATTAATATTAAAATAATGTGTTTATAAATGCGAATATTTCCATTTTCTTTTCCTTTGACTTTTAGACATGAAAATGACAACAGCAGAAAATCTTCTCAATACCTGTAAGTTCATCAACAAGGATTTTTTTTCTAATGAATCTTAATTCCTTGGATGGCAAAAAGACCTCCACTTGAGAATCAATGTGGTATTCATAAATGTGTAATGGGAAGCCTGCTTTTAGAAACTTGTGTCATGATTACTGTAGTTGGCCTTAAAAGAACTGACATCATGGATTTAAAATGAGAAACACGTGCTGGCCATGTGGCTCAGTTGGTTGGTCATTGTCTCATGCACCAAAACGTTGCCAGTTCAATTCCCAATCAGGGCACATGCCCAGGTAGCAGGCTCAATCCCCAGTAGGAGGTGTGTGTGGGGCAACCCTTCAATGTTTCAGGGATGTGGAATTTTGGTACTTTGTAAACAGAGTATCTTTGATTACAGCATTGACTCCTTGATTCAGAGGTAAATCCATAGGGGTTCCAGCGTTTGAGTGTCAGCCAAGGGACTTAAAAGGAAGGAAACATGGTGACTCAGACAAAAAGAGTGACGGCCATGTGGCTCAGTTGGTTGGTCATTGTCTCATGCACCAAAAGGTTGCCAATTCAATTCCTGGGCAGGGCACATGCCCAGGTAGCAGACTCCATCCCCAGTAGGAGGTGTGTGGGAGGCAGCCCTTCAGTGTTTCAGGGATGTGGAATTTTGGTACTTTGTAAACAGAGTATCTTTGGTTACATCAATGTTTCTGTCTCTCTCTCTCTCTAAAAATAAATAAAAATATTTTTTAAGTAAATAAAACAAGGACCACATTATCACATGCCATAATGGCAAAGGAGATCTAGGGATAATTAAGAAGTTAGAATTTAAAGTCAGCTACACATTCATTTTGAGACCCTGATCTGCCATTTATCACTGGATGAATTTATACAGGTAATTCAACCTCTCAAGTCTTTATTTCCAAGTTGTTGTGAAGAGAAAAGAATATAATACAAGGAAAGTACTTATAAGAATTAAAATGCTCCTCCCTTTTCCAACTGTATATCTGTGTGAGGCCAGGTTTTCTTCATATAGTTTGACCAAAACAACATATCACAATAGATTGAAACAAGAAGCAGATAGAAGAATTCAGCCATCTTTTATTAAGACAGACTTGTAAAATATAATACAATGCTAATCTTTTTCCCTAAGTTATATTGTTTTGAAAATATAGTTTTTTTTAAAATAAAATGTCTAATTTATGCTTTTTAAAAAAGGAGTAGAGAGCTCATAATAAGCACTCGATAAATGCCAGCTGTTTGATTTCCTACTCTGCCTATGAAAACTTCAGGTTTAGGAACTCACTGTGGAATTCTGATCCTACCAGCCAAGCTTAGTGTGCTGAGGAGTAGGCTGCCTTAATTCAAGCAGCTTCCTTGCTGGCCAAGGCATTCTGCTTTTATTCTAGTAGCTGCCCTGGGAACATGATCCCCCAGATTGCTGCAACCTGGCTGTCAGAAGAAACACTGCTCTTATCTGGAGAGTGAGACTGATTGGGAGGCTGGATTAGAGGAGTGTCCCTGCAGAGCCAGGTGACACTGACCTGGGTGGCTCTTACTATCCTTCAGTCACAGCATAATTATTTCTGTGCAAAAAATAAACACAAAGCTGTATTAGATTACTTTTCTCTCTGATATATTCGACTGAACAATCCTCAAGTGACTTAATAAGACATCTTAAGTCACTTATGTTGTAACCCAGGAGAATCAACCTCACTCGGACACAAAGTAGTTTTGAATATTAGGAGCTTTATTACCTGCGCAGGGACTGCAGCCAACCTACACAGAGGAGAACTGCAGCCTGGAGCTCAGGGGGAGGGTTGCTTATATAGGGCAGGGGTCATTCAAGAGTTTAGCAGAGCAAGCAAGCTGCGTGTACAGAAGCGGAGGCAGTTAGCGATAAGCAGGAGGGAACGGAGGTGGGAGGGAGCTGAGGCGAGAGGGAACTGGGTGAACTGGGTCAGCACACATCTATCCTGCTATTCATTCTATTATCTAAGTTTTAAAAACTAACAAATTCGCTTAGAGGACACATTCATTTAGAGGAGTACCAGGCCAGCTGGTACTTCTTCAGGTTGCCTCTGAAAGCTTCATAGTTGGCCTTTTGTTTATTTAATCAGGACAAAGTGATAGGAGCAGGTTATTACAACTTATTCCCATGAAAAATTTAGTACTGATGCAATCAAAATCTACAACTAGGAATTTGTCATGTTGATAGACGAGAGGCAGTTAGGACATGAATAAAGGCAGTGGTAAGAAAGAGAGCAGCTAGAGTCCTCCCAGCTGCAACACTGAACAACCATCCAGACCTGTGTTCTGAATTTGACTTGGCCTGTCTGAGATTTTGATTGTACCTTAAATAAAAAAGGAGAAGGAAGAGGCTGGCAAGCAAAACCAAACAAGGTTAAAGAAAAACTAAAGTTTTGGTATATGACAAAGTCTTTAAAGTGCAGCAATAGGTACTGAAATAAAAATTAGAAGGGTAGGAAGGCTGTAAGAACTTGGTAGATTCTCTGGTGTTTCTGAAAGTATCAGCCAGAGACTCTTCATTATATTCCAAAATCCTTGAAATGTACTATATGACCTCTTTTGACCTAACAAAAGCAACAAGGTGCCCTGTAAGATTTCAGCAAGATAATAACAACATAATATTGCAGAGGTGGCAACTGAAAGTTTAACAGAGAACTGAGTGGCAGTTGATATATAATTATAAATTAGATTAAACTTCTGAGTAACAGCAGAAACACGGAAGTTAGAGTTGTCCATGGGAGGTTCTCCTAGCTCGCAGAGAAGCATCATTGTTTTTATATTCCTCTGGAGGAAGCTGAATAAAAGCCAACTTCCTGTAGGAGTTGTCCAAACAGAAAGGAGGATAGGGAGGAACCATTATACCCTTTGAGTTCTGGATTGTTGGTTTTATCCTCTCTAGGGACCATGATTAGGGAGTGAAAAGAAAGAGGAAAAGAAAAGGGAGTTATATCCAATGAGTCAATGTTAGAGCTCTCCCATCAAAAATAGCAACCACAAAGGCTCTGTTTCAGCTAAATGATGTTTATGAAGAGGATGCCTTAACAAATGAGGTTCCGGTTGCAACAAAGAGAACAATCTGGAATCTGAAGCAATACACAAACTTGAGGACTTCAGAAGGCTAGTAAAGGCCCTTTTAAAAGCCTAGATGTCCCTCCCTGTGCTTCTAATTCCTTTCTACCCTCAGGAAAGACTATCTCAAGATACATCTTGTCATATATAATTAATAACATCTCTGTAAAGCAGACTAACCTTTCCAATTAATTTAAATCTCCTTCTTGATACAAATTCCTTTCTCTATCTCAGAGGTTCACAACGTGAACACTGTTGACACTGTGGACCACATAATTCTTTGTTTCAGGGACAGTCCTGTATATTATAGCAATATCCCTATCCTCTACCCACTAGATACCAATACCCCTACCCCAATTATTACAATCAAAAATGTCTCCAGATACTGCCAAATTTCTCCTGGGAATAGAGGGTGGTATGAAAAAGTGTCCCTGATTAAGAGCCACTATTTTAATTTGTGCCCACTGCATTGATTATGGCAAGTTTTCAGCACTCTCTAAATGCTTTAGGAAAATAACACATTACAGAGAAGGGTTTTGCAGTCAAATATCAAGCTTATTCCAAGATGTCTCGTGGATTAGTAAACTATATAGACTTCATTTCTACAAACATTTGTTGAGCTCCTTTTATGTAGTAGATTCTCTGGGTAGCTTATGGAGATACTTTTTTTTTTTTTAAGATATAGTTCCTGCCCTCTAAAAATATGTATTAATGAGGCTAACAATATTTAGTAAAAGATACCATCAACTGTTAAGGTATAAACTCAGTGCTCCATTTGGAGTAACATGAGGTAGTCAAAAGAATCAGAGAGAATCAGACAAATAAAATAACAGTGAAGTCATACTATTACTGCAGATTTACTTTAAAGACTTAAGAATCTATGCCAAGTGAAGTAAGTCAGTCAGAGAAAGACAAATACCATATGATCTTACCTATATGTGGAATCCAATGAAAAAAACAAACTGACAACCAAAATACAGAGACATGGTTACCTGGAACAGACTGACAGCTGTCAGAGGGGAGGGGTGAGTGGGGACTGGATGAAAGAAGGTGAAGTGATTAGCCAAATAATATATATGCATACCCCATAGATACGAACAACAGTGTGGTGATGGCCAGAAGGAGAGAGGAATAGGCAGGGCTAGGTGGAGGCTGGCAAAGGTGAGGAATGGGGACATCTGTGATATTGTCAAAAATAAAAATAAATAAATACATTATAAACAATTATTGGAAAGAGTCTAGCAGTTTCTCTGGATCTAAATTGACATAAAAGTAGTCCTGGTTCAGAGAAACATACAACTCTAAAAAAGGTTCACTATCTTCATGTGTTATTTCTTTTACCCAGGTATTGTGTATTGTAACTTGAGTATGAACACATTTCTGTCTACTCTGTCTCTCATAAATATCTCATTCATATTCACATTCATTCACACTTTCTTATGAATGTTTCATAGCAATCATTACTCTAAACAACTGCTCATAAAATTAAAAAGCACACATCTCCCTATGCAGCAATGTAACTGGTTATACAGTTATTATCTTCCAAATTCAAACATTTAATTTCACCTACCTCTTCCAATAGGCAAGGTCACACAGATCCAGAAAGAGTGCATGTGAGTGATGAGGATGGGGGAGGAAAATGTCAATTTATTTTGAATGCTCAGGAAATCTCAAGTTAGTAGTAAGTTAGTCCTCACTTCTCCAAGATTGTCTGAGTTTTTCCTCAATTAATAGTTAACAGTGAAATATATTGTGGGGAATTTGTTTACTGTAGCAATGCATGCATAAGCAATATGAATATCATAATTTGCTAATGAACTCTATTTTGAGCAGGTTGTGGACATCGTACGATAACTTTCTCTGGCAACAAGATAGCAGGGGGCACAGATGCAGAGAAAGGGGAATGGCCCTGGCAAGCTAGCCTTCAACAGAACAATGTCCACCGATGTGGAGCCACTCTGATTAGTAACAACTGGCTTGTCACTGCTGCTCACTGTTTCATAAAGTAAGCTCTGGGCTACATAAAGGCATTCAAGTACCTAAAAGTTTGATACATATCTTTCAAGAATATGACCACACAACTACACCTTCAACTGTTCAATATTATGGAGTATAGCCTTAAAATGACTCAATGAATGATCAAGTTTTTTAAAAATAGATATATTCAGGTTAACGCAGATTTTTCAGCAGTGGCATTATTAACATTTTAAATAAAATAATGCTTTGTTGTGGCGGGGGGTGGGGGGGGCTCTTCTATTCATTAAAAGATATTTAGCAGCCCAAGCAGTATGACTCAGTGGTTGAGCGTCAACCCATGCACCAAGAGGTCGCCGGTTTGATTTCCAGACAGGGCACATGCCCAGGTTGTGGGCCCAATCCCCAGTGGGGGACATGCAGGAGGCAGCCAATCCATGTTCTCTCTCATCGATGTTTCTATCTCTCTCTCCCTCTCCCTTCCTCTATCTCTAAAATCAATAAAGAAAAAAAAAATTTTAAAGAATATATTTGGCAGAATTCCTGCCATGAACATATCAAATGCCAATAGTATTCCCACAGCATTGAAAAATGTCTCCAGATATTACCAAATGGGTCCTGGAAGATAAAATAGCCCTCAGCTGCAAATCACTATGCTAGATTCACTTAATTTAATTTTATAAAGAAACTCTAAATCCCAAATTAAACACAGGTCTTCTATTCCTCATCATTATTACATTTGGTCTTATTTAATCATAAGTATTTGAATTCATCCTGTAGCCTCCCATATATATTATAGCCCTATTTTAAATAATTATTTCTTTAAAGGATATATTATAACACCAAAAGTTTGCCCTTTCTTTTCCTTTCTTTTGTTTGATGGTTCATTTCAATAATTTCTATTGGTTTTATATAGCATTTGTTGGTTTTATTTTTAAACAAAAATCCCTCTCAAACTTGAGAGTTTGAAAATGTTCCAGAGTACTATTTTTCAGTGCATAATATACAAACTCTTAACAAATAGCAAAAGTAAGAAATATCTTCCTATTTATATTTTTAGTGATTATATAAGTGTATTTAGATAGTTCCTTAATTTCTATGTTTACTCTGTCCCATATGCTTTCCCACTTTATATTTAATCTTTTTATCTTGTGTTATCATAGTGATCTTTCTAAATCACCTGGGTCTTTTCTGAATAAAATAAGAAGAAAATGTAGTTTCCATGGATTATCTTTGAAAATATAGCTTACAGAGTTATTTAAATTCTATTCATGTTATTATTTTTAAGTTTTTATATAGCTTCACTTTTGTATGCTTACATGCACTATAGAAATTCAAAACATATCTAATTGTTTTTAAAAGCATAAGAGACTTATGAAGAAATGCTCATCATCACTAATCATCAAAGAGATGCAAATCAAAACAACAATGAGGTATCACCTCACACCTGTCAGAATGGCTGCCATCAACAAATCATCAAACAACAAGTGCTGGCGAGGGTGTGGAGAAAAGGGGACTCTAGTACACTGCTGGTGGGAATGCAGACTGGTGCAACCACTATGGAAAACAATATAGTGTTACGTCAAAAAATTAAAAATTGAACTTCCATTTGACCCAGTGATCCCACTTCTAGGAATATACCCTAAGAAGCCTGAAACACCAATCAGAAAGAATATATGTACCCCCATGTTTGTAGCAGCACTATTTACAATAGCTAAGATCTGGAAACAGCCCAAGTGTTCATCAGTAGACGAATGGATAAAAAAGCAGTGGTACATATACACAATGGAGTACTATGCAGTTGTAAGAAAGAAAGATCTCTTATCTTTTGAGACGACATGGAGGAACCTGGAAGGTATCATCCTAAGTGAAACAAGCCAAACAGAGAAAGACAAGTTTCATATGATCTCACTTATTTGTGGAATATAATGAACATAACAGTCTCAGGAATGGGGTAGTCCCAATGACGCGGAAGTGGGATACAGACTGACAATCCCCCAAAAAAGGGGGTGGTGGTGGAGAGATAAACCACAGAATTTATATGCATGTATGCATGAACAATGAATATGGACAACAAACTGGGGACAGGGCAGGGAGGGAGGGGGAGGGGGGAATCAGTGGGGGGAAAAGGAGAAACATCTGTAACAAAAATTAATTAATAAAAAAAATGCATAAGATATTAACTCCTACATCTCCAACTTTTAATAAATAAATCTATTTTCTTTAGGGACAATAATCCCAGAGGATGGAATGTTAGTTTTGGGCTTCTTTTAAATGATCCACAAACACAGAAAAAAATCAAGAATATTATAATTCATGAAGACTACCATTACCCTGCACATGAACATGACATTGCTGTTGTGAATCTGTCTTCACCAATATTATACACAAGTGACATTCGAAGAGTATGTCTTCCAGAAGCTAATTATACAGTCTCACCTGGTTCGGATGTGGTGGTTACTGGATGGGGAACATCAAAGTCTGATGGTAAGTTCCTTACCTTCCTCCATTACATGCCTTGAGTTTTAGAAATTCAAAAACAATACCCAGGCCCTGGCCAGTGTGGCTCAGGTGACTGAGCATTGCCCCATGCAGCAAGAGGTCATCAGTTAATACCTGGTCAGGGCACATGCCCAGGTTCCCAACCCGATACCTGGTAGAGGGCATATGGGAGCTAATGGAGTTTCTCTCTCCCATGTATGTTTTTCTCTCTTCCTCTTCCTTCCTCTCTCTCTAAAATCAATAAAAAACATATTTTTATAAAAGAAAGAAAGAAAAAGCAATACCCAGAATCACAAATATACCTGAGAAATACTTTCTCTGGATCATTTTAAAAAGGATAAAGTGCAATAAATTGAAAATTATCCTCAACAACATTCATATAAAAACTACAATTTCATAGAGCTATTTACCATAATTTCCCTTAACAATAGCATTTATTTACACATATATTTACATATATATTTACAAATATATTACTTGAATAAGTAATTCATTTTCCTCCATTGCCTTTATTCAATAAACATTTATATTGATTATCAGCTTTGTTTCAAGTACTGTCCTAGGTGGTTTGGATATATTAATAAATAAAATAAACAAATATTCTTGCCCTCATAAAGCAAAGAAAAATAGATAATAATCATGAAAAATAATTAATAAGTAGATTATGCAGCATGTTTTGTGCAGGTAAGTATCATAGAAAAAGTAAGGACTACAGAGGATTGGGCATTTTTGATGGGGTGAAATAAGTAGCCCTCTGTGATAAGGCAACAACTAAGCAAAGACCTTTTATTTATTTATTTTTTAATTTTTTTTTCTTTATTGATTTTAGAGAGAGAAGAAGGAAGAGGGAGAGAGATAGAAACATCAATGAAAAAGAACATCAATTGGCTGCCTCCTGCATGTCCCCGACTGGGGTTCAGGCCCACAACTTGGGCATGTGCCCTGACCAGGAATCAAACTGGCAACCTCTTGGTACATGGGTCGATGCACAATCACTGAGCCACACCAGCCAAGCTAGGCAAAGACCATTTAAACATGTGCATCCTGATAACCCTAGTAATGTAAATATTTTGTGGCTAGTTATATTCATAAATGCATTTGAAAGCAGAAGCAAATGAACCTAAAATTAATTCTAAGATTCATAATTATAGTAATAGCAGAAAATCTAAAAAAGATTATCAAAAGTGTGTTTCTGAAATATGAATTTTTTATTTTGTTTTATAAGGCATACATATAATACATATAAAATTCCAAAACAATTCAAAAGGAAAAAAAAATCCCATCATATATGATGGACACGCTATTTCAAAATATAATCATTTTAACAATAGCTTGCTGTGTTCTTAACATTACGTCTTTCTTACTAAGAAAGGGGACAAACAAAAAATTAATTAAAATGTATGTTTTACATTTATTTGAAAATTGTATATAGTGTTAGATACTAATAACTTAGCCAGAGAAACTAATATTGACTTTAGCAAAAATTATATAATCTCTTCTTCCTTTAGGAACAATTCCTAATATACTCCAAAAAGCAGTAGTGAAGATTATAGATAATAAGACCTGCAACAAGGAAGAGATATATAGTGGTGTGATCACACCTGGAATGCTGTGTGCTGGGTTTCTGAAGGGAAAAGTGGATGCCTGCCAGGTAAATCTGCCTATTCTATTGTCAAGATTTTTTCTTGTCGTTTTTAATTTGCAATTAACCAGTTCAATTTTCCCAGAAGATTGACAATTATTAAAAGCTTAAGTATGTTTTATAGCCAGAGTAGTTAATTAAAAGGATATTGATTTCTGATAGGTCCCATTAAAGTACTAAAGTACTAAACCGCCTTTACTATTATGAGAAGCTGAGTGGGAATGGGGAAGAGACTCAACTTAGAATAACAATAAAGAGATGACATGGAATATATTGGTGACTTTAGTTCAATTGTCTTCTTTTACTGAGAAGCAAGTGAGTCCAAAACCAAATCATGGAACTTTCTTAATTTGGGGTGTGCCAGCCACTGTCTTAAGATTTTTACAAATATTAATTTATTCAAGTTATGACAGTTCTGTTATGTATGTTTATACTATTATAAACCTTACTTCTCAGATAGAAACTATGACAAAGAGAGCAAGTAACTTGTCTAAACTCACACAGGCAGTAAGTGGCAGAACTGAGATTTAAACCCAGGAAATTGGGATCTACAACCTATACTCTGAATGCTACATTAAGCTGCCTTTTCTTATGCTCTATATGATTCAAACCTCCTGATGCTATTTATAAGCAATAGTCATAGAGCTAACAAAAGTGCTAGTTCTTTAGGCAGGCAGCGTCAGTGATAAATCCAGGAAGACCCTTATTTCATTAACTCATTCTTTCGTGTAACGATGCTTTATTGACTACTAACTATATACCAGACCATGTGCTAGGCTCAGGAAAGTTAAAAGTGAATAGAGCTTTATTCCTGACCTCTAGGAGTGAGAAGACATGCAAACAAGTATTTGCAATACATAATTATCATCTCTAATTACAGATTACCAGCTTTCCTACTATCCCACTAAACCTATTCTTCCAAGTCATGACAAGCTTAAATCTCTGTTTCTCTCCGTTTTCTCTCGGTTCAGCACTCTCAGCCCCATGACTCTCTTCTAACTTTACGCATTCTAGAATCCATGTTTTATTATTTTAACCATTCCCTTGACACCATCCTCAGTGGCGTCCCCATATTCTACTTCCTCCACCCCATCCTAATAATCTCTAACCACTGGGCTGTCTATCTACTTTATTTGCTTTTATATGTGGGCTACTTAGCACAGCTAGAAAAAATTTTGTAGCCTTGTAAATTGGTGCCATATAATCACAGCTGGATCTTTAACACACTGTAGAATTCTTTAATGCATATTTCTTAGTGCTATGTCAAAATGTCATTACATTGTTTGAATGTATCTTATATTCATGCCCTTATATTCTTTAATTTATGACATTTCCTCCTACTAACTAGAAAGAAAAAAAAAGGAAAGCAATCACATGAGAACTCCTTTAATATCTTTTTTTACCTGATAGATGTATATTTGCACTTATCTTCACCTTCTAGGCTTACAATAAACAAGTTTCTTCTACTGTTTGAAGCTCATTCCTTACCTGTGTTCTTAATCCACTCTCTATCTACACAGATATTTGAACTTTTTATTAGTTTGAAAGTTCTTCCATCAAACTGCCCCACCCTAGTGAACTCTTCCACAGATTTTGCACACATTATTAGGTTTCTCCGTCGATATATCCTACTCAATCTTTCTTTTCCCCTTCTTGGTCAAATTTCTAAAGAACATTTTAGCATCATTCTTCCACATTCTCAGTTTACTCACTTTCTGACCAGCTGCTTGCAGACTTTTGCCCTACCAGTCCATTGACAGTACTCTAGTCAAGATTACTGATGATGGGAGGAGGGTGTCAATGGGGAAAAAGGGAGAAACACCTGTAACAAAAATAAATTAATAAAAAATTGCAAAAAAAATCCAACTTAAACAAACAAAATACTATAGCTTCTAATAGTCTCTCTTAGGCTATTTGATATTACTGAGATGTTATCAATTAGATGTTATCAATAAATATTTGCTGTACCTAATATGACTATTGATTATAATATTTTGCTTAAGAAAAAATATCAAGGGCTATTACTCTTGTTACAACCACATACTAGCCATGATAGCTGTACTTAGTTGTCTTGAGTAGCTATCCCTTGACTGTACAATAGTACCTATCCTATAGGCTTGTAGTCATTAAATTATTATCTGTATTGACTGACTTTTAACAATGAGAATACATACAGGTTTTACTTTTTAAAAAAAGATTACTAATGATTGTCCACTTGCCAAATTCAATATATGCAGAGTGGAAGACAGACTGAATATCAGTGAGCTAGAGATAGTGTGATCTATTCAAATATTTTGTCTGAGAAAGGTAGTGAGGGCTTCAACTAAGACACAGTAGAAATGGAGAGCCAATGTGACAGTAACAGTTGAGTAGACAAGATGGTGGGATGGATTATAGGTGAGGAAGAAAGAAAAGGAGCAATATAATGCTGACTTCCATATTTCTCCCTAAGCAACTGGAGAGGTGTACAGGAGAAAGAACAGGTTTGAGGAGGGTGAACGTTCAGTTTGGAGTGCACTAAATTTAAGGTGCCTTTGGAATATCCAGGTACATATGTCCAGTATACCAATGAAAATAAAAACCTTGAGCTCAGGAAAGACTTCTGGCTGGAGATACATATGGAAAAGTCATTGTCATCTGGGAGGTAGTTAAATTTGTGAGCATAAATTCAATTGATCAGGTAAAGTGTGCAAAATAAGAAACACCTAAGTAATAGAATTCAGTTATACTTGCTTTTAATGGGCTGACACTAAAAGAAAATAAAGATCAGAAAAACAAGAAGAAATTGATGTTACAGGAGTCTAGGAACCAGAAAAAGGAGAATAGTTTATAGTGACACATGCCATAGAAAAGTCAAATGAGGTAAATTCTGGAAAGAACCCATCAAATTCAACAATTGTTTATCAGTAAAGTTTGGGAAGGTGCATTGGTGGGAATAAAAGCCATTTAGAATTAAATTAAGAGTGAGATGAGAATATGGAAACTTAAATATAACTACTTTAAATTGCTTAGCTATAAAAGGGAGACAATTAGGGCAATCGAGGGGGTCTTAAGATCCAAAAAAGATTGTCATATTTCAGGAAGGCAAGACAAAAAAAAACAAGAAAAGATTATTTATAGAACAAGATAGGGAGATTAGTCTTGGAAAGAATTAAATACATCTATTACTCTAAAGAGATTAGATACAGATGTGGGCTGATGTAGGTGATCTGGGAAGTCAAAAGGGACAAAGACTAGACATGGAAAGATTCCTACCTGTGACTCCACTTACTCTATGAATTTGACTAAGACATTAGATTCAGAGTCAGGGAACTAAATTTTTAAAAATTGTGAAATGAACCTTGTGCACTGCTGGTAGGAATGTAAAATGCCACAACCTCTGTGGAAAACAACATGGTGGTTTCTCAAAAACATTAAAAATAGATTATCATACAATCCAAATATTTCATTTCTGAGTATATACCCAAAAGAATTAAAAGCAGGGACACAAATAGATACTTGTACATCCATGTTCGCAGAAACATTCACAATAACCAAAAGATGGGAGCAATCCAAATGTCCACTGATGCAGAAAAGTGTCAACAAAACATTGTATGTTTACACATACACACACACACCATGCAAAAAATACCATGGTTTACATACATATAATGGAATGTTATTTAACATTAAAAAGAAGGAAAGTGTTACAACATGAATGAAGCTTGAAGACATTATGCTAAGTGAAATAAGCCAGTCACAAAAGGATAAATACTGTGTTCCTTCATTCATATGAGGTACTTGAAGTAGTCAAATTCATAGAGACAGAAAGTAGAACGGTAGTTGCCAGGAGCTGGGGAAAGGGAACAGTGGAGAGTTATACAGGTCAACGGGCATAGAATTTTAATTTCTCAAGGTGAAGAAAGCTCTGGAGATGGATGGTGACAATGACCACACAACAATATCAATGTACTTAATGCCATAGAACTATATACTTAAATATGGTTAGAATGGTAACTTTTATGTTAGGTATATTTTTCATAATTAAAAAATAAATAATGATTTTTTAATATGTGAAATGAAAAATGTTTGAATTGGCTGCTCTTAAAAAATGAAAAGGGAATGTGGCTAGGGACACATAAATACTGAGGTGAGGTCCTGGTTCGAGGATGTACATTTGTATTGCAGTTTTCATTCACAGTGTATTGTTTGGCCCTGGTTGTGATGGGAAGGTAAGAAACTGAGAATCTGCTGAAAAAAACTGGAATGGGTAAATTGTGGAATATAGTCACATGAAAAAAAAATGGAGAAAAGGAAGGAGTCAAGAATTGGCATTCTTTTTTTTTATTCTTTTAATTTCCATTTTAATAATAATTTCAGTGTGAATAGGGGGATTTCAACTTGCTTATATTAGAATTTTATTATTTCATATCACTTGTAAACATGAGATTCATTCTTTTTCCTGGCTTGATAGCTGAACTCAGTTATTTTAAGTCCCTTTATTCATTTACTAATACATTTACTGAACACCTCTATGTGTCTTGCCCTAGGCTCATAGGTATCTGTGATTGGCCCTTAAGAAGCTAGTGTAGCCCTGGCCGGTTTGGCTCAGCGGTTGGAGCGTAGGCCTGCGGTACAGAGAGACCCGGGTTCGGTTCCCGCTAAGGGCACGTATCTCGGTTACAGTTTGTCCCCAGCCCTGGTTGGTCGTGCGGGTGGCAGCCACTCGATGTGTCCCTTCATTTCGATGTTTCTCTCTCTCTCTCTCTTCCTCTCTCTCCCTCCCGCTCTTTCTGAACAAAAAATGTCCTCGGGAGAGGATAAAAAAAGCAGCAAGCTAGTGTAAACTTAACTAGGATTTACAGATTCTCTAGGGAACATTTATTTAATTATACTTCATAATAAACACAAGTATTTTTAATATATTGCCTCTGAAAATTATAGCAAATGACAGATTGGTAAAAATATGAATAGTCAGTTTTAGTCTATCTTAGATCAGATATGCTGGGTAATTTATTTGCTCATGTGCTGTTACTCTTACATTCTTAGTAACTATATAAGATATCAGCAAATGGCCTGGATTCTACTAGTGTATCAGAGCTGGACATCTTGATTGGTGGTCTGCCAGTAAAGAATCAGCATTGTTGCCCTGGCCGGTTTGGCTCAGTGGTTAGAGCGTTGGCCTGTGGTCCGGAGAGACCCGGGTTCAGTTCCCGCTAAGGGCACGTACCTCCATTGCAGTTTGTCCCCAGCCCTGATTGGGTTGTGCGGGTGACAGCCACTTGATGTGTCCTTTTCACGTTGATGTTTCTCTCTCTCTCTCTCTCCCTCCCACTCTATCTGAACAAAAAATGGAAAAATGTCCTCAGGTGAGGATTAAAAAAAAAAAGAATTAGCATTTGTAATGGTGTTGAAGAGCAGATGTAGCGTGAAAAGTAGTGGAATGAGAACAGTGAAGGGGCAGGTACATGCAATCATAATGCTGAAAAATGGTATTTCAAAAGTAGAGCAGTTCCAGGTGATGAAAATTTTACCCTTTCCCCCTTTCCACCCCTGTCCAGAAGTGACATGGAAATGTTTAATAAGTATCTTTAGATGATCAGAATTAAGGAAACCAAGAGACCGTGGTTTCATCCAAGAGATGTTGAAATTTTCCAGGATGATGTGAAGGATTAGAGCAAAGGAAAATCCAAATGCAAATGTGTCGATCATTCTGGGAAAACTACCTAAATATCAGTAGATAAAACCATAAGGAGTATAGAGGGTAATTTAGCCAAATTAAACAATTCTGAAAATTGGAGGGATGTTTACACAGAAATAGAAAAGCAATAGCCTAGTGCTGGTGGTGAGTAAATAAAAACCTTCCTTTTCCCTAGCATCTGCCTAAAAATAGGAGAGTTTTGGGAGATAATCAGAGAACTCCTCAGCATACTGATGATTGTATAAGCAACAATATCTTCAATATCTCTTTTAGGTAATAACTGAGATAAAATTGATCACACTTGTTTTCCCTTCTTGTATTTTATATCCAAAGACATAGACTGATATATTTGATTTAAATAAATGATTACAGAACACAGAAATATTTAAGATTAGAATCAGTTTAATATTGAAATAAGCAGTACTCATCCTTAAATTATATAATTGTATATATTCTTTTTCTTTCTAGGGTGACTCTGGTGGACCTCTGGTTCATGCAGATCATAACGGCATTTGGTTCCTTGTTGGTATAGTAAGCTGGGGAGATGAATGTGCTCTTCCAAACAAGCCTGGTGTCTACACTCAAGTGGCATACTATCGAGACTGGATCATGTCCAAAACTGGCATCTAGTATATAAGTTCTTTGTAGATGAAAGCTTGATGATTATATACTTGTAAGTGCTTGTAATTCCCAAACTGTATTTAATTATGAATAACTTTATGCATATTTAATATTGCAAATTTTAAAATATTCCATTTTAGAACTATGAAAACTTTTGTGTATTAGATTTTGACAAAGGTTTAGTGAAAGTAATGGCACAGACATACAATTTTCTCTTTCACCCCTTTCCAGACTGGAGACAATTTATGAGTAAATAAGGATTGCAGTTTGCTAAGGAGGTCTCCACTGCTGATTTGCAGATCCAGTTCCTTTGAGAAATCATAGAACAGGTGTTCACAATAAACTTCCTCCTGAGTGTACAAATAATGCCCTGCTGACAAGCGCGTGGATTCCACAAGATAAACCATTGGTAGGGTGTAGCCTAGTGAGTTGCAGTGATACTGCCGATAAAAACTTCCCAGAAAAATCTACCTATTTTCTTTCTAGTCTGTGCCAGTGCTAACCTGGTTCCTATTTATGGCTTCCTCACCTTGAGCGACACAAAACAGCACGATAATCCCATGGGGTACATTGAATAGATCTTGATGCTTGTGGATTTGTCCCTAATTTTCTTTCATATGGAAATGAGGCCAGAAGATGGTTCTCACATAGACACACATAACAGTAAAATTATCCTCAGGCATTATGTAGTCTTAAATAGACTATGCAAATAATGCCCGATTCCATGTCTCCAAACTCTGAAAATTCCTCAAGAATGCAAACTATCAGCCAAAATAAATAATATGGAAATTTTGCCTCCACTTCACTTTCCTACTCAGAAACATCCTAGCTATCTTCTAAATCAATACCATTTTATTCAAAATTATATTACTTCACAACAAAGATTCTAGACCTTCATGTATTTATTGTCTTAATTGCAGTTTCTTGCATAAAGCAATGTCATACTAGGTATATTTTAGTATCTTGGGGGAAAAGCATGATGGACTAATGATTTAAGCCACCAGTCCTCTTCTTTACCTAATTTCTTTGTGTACAGAAAATGTATAAAATTCCTATGGAAAAAAGTACAAACACTTAACTTTTATTTTAAAAAATAATTTGACATGAAAGACAGGTATTAGTTTGGTAAGCACATTTACGAAGTAGGCCACTTCCAAATAGGGCTGGTTTAAGTCAACCAACCTGCATAACGATATATTATATAATGATAGACTGCCTTTTCTTCTCTAAAGAGAGAGACAAAACAATAGGTAATGTCTATTATAATGGTGCCCTCCCCACCCTCCACCCAACAACAGTGTCATGACTACTGAGGCTCTTCAGATTCAGGGATTTCTGCTTTAATAGTATTGGCAAGATTTCATGATGAGAACTTTCAAATAATAGAGAAAACTCAATACATTGAATATAAATAAGTTATTACTAAGTTTATTAAATAGGTAAGTTAAATATGATACAAATAACACTACAAGTAGTGTATATTCAAGTCTACTTTTTCAGTTAATCCCTCCTTACTGGTAAAACAGTAAGTTTTAATAAAGTTATAAGGTTCATATCTCAGTTGGTTTCTTCTTTTACCTGTTTAAACCCCATGCCTTTGTGACTGCTACCATCTGAATTACCTGGCATCTCTTTCAGCATCTTTGTGATTTCACTCATCTGTGTCTTATAGAGACTCCTTTGTAAGGTAAAACCTAGTTTTATTAGATTGCTTACTACAGATTAATAGTTTCACTTTGATCTATTATTTCTCTCATTTTTCCTCTTACTGCTGCTTTTCAGAATTCTTTTGCTTAGTCTGCTATATTTGTTATGCCACCTGAAAATACATTTAACATTGTTCAGACTCTTTCTGGCATAATTTGCTGAGTTCCCCTCAGAAGATCTCAGAGACTAAGCCCAAATGACTGGTTTCCTCAGCGATTTTCACTAACAAGACTTTTTACTAAGTAAACAATGCAAAACAAACACACACATCTTTCTAGAGAGTTTATTCATTTTTGTTTTCATGGATCCTCGTTTAAAAAAAAAAAAAGAGCATGCTATGTCATTTTCAGTGCTAGAGAAAAGGATAACATTATCACATTCTCTTTTAACTTTTCACTGTGAGGACGCTTTAATATAGATTTAAATTAACTATTTTTCTAAAAGAAAAATGTCTTCCCTTTCATATATTTCAAATAACATGTCTTAAAATTTTGCATTGTAGAAAAAAAATGTAAACTCCTTAATATTACAGTCTCTGTCCTGTTCTATATTCTCAACACCTAGAACTCTGTCTGGCACATAAAAATATTTTTTAAATGAATGAGAAGAGCTTGGAAACTATAGTTTCTATAACTGTATTAAATAAAGCATAGCCCACAAATGAAAATATATCATTTTTATGAGTAGGAATCTGTGCATAATAATAGAAAATGATTTTGAAGCTGACAGAAAACTTAAAAACTGTATCATGGCCCTGGCCAGGCAGCTCGGTTGGTTGGAACCTAATCCCGTACACCAAAAAAATCGTGGGTTTGATTCTTGGTCAGGGCACATGCCTAGGTTGCGGATTCAAACCCCAATTTGGGTGCATACGAGAGGCAACCAATCGATGTTTCTCGTTCACATTAATGTTTCTCTCTCTTTCTCTCTCTCTCTTCCTCTGTCTCTAAAAATCAATAAATATATCTTTGGGTGAGGATTTTAAAAAACAAAAGAAGAAAACCTGTGTTATGAATTTTGCAGATAATAGTTAGACCCAGGAAGCTTGAGGGTCATTCAAGAAAACAGGAATCTCTTGATTCCCAATACATAGTACTCTCTCTTCTATAATATATTCATAATGAAAACATAGTTTAAATGCCATGAAATAACACTCATTGCCCTCAAACATTTATTTCTTAGAATGTTCTTTGAATAGATTATACAGGTTGTAATGAACATTACTGGTCCTCCACCTAGACCCTTCTATCAGACATGGACATTCCTTCATTCGTTGTTGAGCTACCCTCTTCTACTGAGGACTGCCCTCAGGTTATGGGAAATACCACCCCAATGATCCTGAGGTTATACATCTCCCACCCAACAGGTGGTCCTTAGCCAATGGGTAACTTATTCACCAGCACAAAAGCTTAAGACAACTGTGGTGCCATTTGCACCCAGTGTTCCCTGTAGGATCAAGCTAAGACTGGATTCAGCTGAAGTCACACTTGCCTCACTTCTTCGTCTGTCCTAACTTGTGTTACCTCGCTCATTAGAAAATTTAATCTTGGAGCGCTCTCTGAAATCACTTGCAAAAGAATCCCTGCTTCCAGCTCTGATTCTATGGAGTTCTATTTAATATATTGGTTGATTTACTTTTCAGGTTAGCTGATTATTAGGAAAAACCGTTTTCTTGTATTTTTCCTAGAATACATGATGTATTTTTCTAATTTAATAAATCCAGTACAGTAAAACCAATTAGTACTTTATTGTTTCAGAATATCTTGCCAAAATTCATCATTATAAACATGAAGTTTCCTTGTATTATACTACAAAGTTAGATGCAGGTAATTTAAGCATTTAAATGTAACTATACTGATATTAAGACATAAAATCTGTGTTTAACTAAACCTATGTTATCACTTTATTTTGTTCTTTTATTTGTCTCTTTTTCATGGAAGTGTAATGCAACAAAATTTCTAGGGATCTAACCATAAACTGGTTGTAGAATACCAGTTAATCAAGTTTTGCTATTCAAAGACATTTGCTTTAATAGAGTTTTATTCATCCTTATTGATTTTTTGATAATCTAGCAAACAAAAATTCTATATGACAAATAATATTATATCAGCTATTTCACAGATACAAACCCTTATTTATAAAATTACTCTTTGTAATAAAGGCCTTGCATATGTGATAAATGTGTTATAAACTAGGAGAAATAAACAGGAGAAACCCCATCAAAAAACAAGACAACCTACTGAATGAAGATATTTGCCAATAATATATCCAATAAGAAGTTAATATTCAAAATTTATAAAGGACTGATACACCTCAACACCAAGAAAACAATCTAATTAAAAAATGGGCAGAGAATCTGAATAAATATTTCTCCAAAGAAAGTATACAGATGGCTAAGAGAAATATGAGAAAATGTTCAACATCACTAACCAGAGAAATGCAAATTAAAACCACAATTAGATGTTACCTCACCTCTCAGAATGGCTAGCCTCAACAAATTAATAAACAAGTGTGGGTGAGGATGTCAAAAACAAAAGGGAACCCCTGTGCACTATTGCTTGGATTGCAAATTGTTGCAACCACTATAGAAAGCAGTATGGAGGTGAATTCCCGTCAAGATGGCAGCGTAGGTAAACGCAGTATCGGGTCCTCCCACAACCACATCAAAGTTACAACTAAACTACAGAACAACCATTATTCAAAAATGCCTAAAATCAAGCATCAAGAAGTCCTACAACTACGGAATTAAAGAAGAAGCCACATTGAAACTGGTAGGAGGGACGGAGGAGGGACGGAGGCGCAGACTGGCTGGTCCCACACCCACATGTGGTGGATAAAAATGAGGAGGGTACCTTGGCTGGGAAGGTCCTCTCTGAGGAGTGAGGAGTCTCTGTCTCACACCAGGCGCCCAGCTCAGGGTTCCAGTGCCAGGAAGAGAAGTCCCCATGACTTCTGGCTGGAAAAACCAGCGGGAACTGAGGCAGAGGGAGGCTGAGGCTTCTGGAGCCCCAGGCAGCTCCTCTTAAAGGGCCCGCGCATGGACTCGCTCAGACTTGCTCCCTCCAGGCTCCAGCAAAGAGGAGGCAGCTTGAAAGACACCAGAGACATATGGGGATGAACTGAGTTGTTTGGTATTAGGGCAAGGGCTGGAGAGGCAGCTTTCTCCTGGACAGACCTGCTGTCAAAGGCCTTTGTTCCTTTGGTGAGCCCTTCCACCACAAGTCCGCAAACAGCTGCCATATCTAGGACTCCAGCAACCTGGCTCACACATTTGCCCACCCTGGTGATTCTCTGAGGCCCTG